GCCCCAATCGTCGCAAAGCGAGTGCGGCGATTGGGGCAGCTCCGTATAGCGATCCCCAAAAAGGGATCGCTATACGGATTCTTCGTTATACGGTGCGCTCGTTAAGCGAGGCACCACTGTATTTAAATGACCAGTTCAGACAGCAATCTAAATCACATTTAAGATGAAAAGTAACCAAAGTGCAGACTACCAGATGTTATGGATTGTAGCTTCTGTCAGTCCTAGCCAGTGGTGAGAAATACTGTCGAACCGTATTTCTAAGGCCCCAGGTTACCCATTCATGGTTCAAATGAGAACAGCTGAGCGTCTGTGAGCCTTGAATTCAAGCACTTCCCAATTTTGTTTCTTTCCATTTACATAACTACCACTTTAACTTTAAAACAAACCATAGTTCTCTATTAAAAATAAGCTAATGGAATTGTGTTTTGTTTCAACCAAACCAAGCCATATTATTGTCATACTATTGTTTGCTGCTAAAAACTCTCCATAGTGCTCTCTACAAAATAATTTTCTAGTGTCTGCTTGTAAGATTGTAATCTCACTCTTTGTTTTTATACTGATCATTACAATATTTTTTTGTCTTTTGTTTTACCAGACTGAGGATATTAAAGAGATAGCCCGGAAGGCACAAGCCTTGCCAAAAGTAAACCTTAAAAGACAGCGGATTGTCGTGTTCACCCAAGGGAAAGATGATACTGTTATGGCCACAGGTATCCTGTTTTTAAACATTTTATCCAAGCTACAGAAGACCTTCATTCAACGTTAAAGTGATGGTAGAAATAATGTCATAAATATTGGCCACTGTGTTTCAGACAAATTCAGGAATGCCAACAAAGTAGTCCTGCAAGTGTATGATTCCCCTAGGTTTGGAATATATTATGCATTCTAGAGGGAAGCCTGTGACAATCAGCAAATATACTGTTGCAGTTACAAAAAAAGAAGATGGCAGGTGGACAAGAACAGTGTTTTACAAAATACAGAGAAATAGTCTGAACAGCTGTTTCCCAGGGAAGGTGAAAACATAAGGAGGAGAGAGGCTGGGTTCATGTTCCAAAGGCAGGTTTAGTTGCTGTTGTGTGCCTCTGGGATTGAAATGATGATCTATAGAATGCCAATTTAAGCATCGAAACGTGGCTGCTTGCCTTTTGATACACTCTTTAAGAATAAATCCATGTCCTTTTTGACTACACTGGACTAGGTTGGTGATCCTTGCAGTGTAAAAAGTCCTTGTCATTGATTTCTATAGGGAAAAATGTGTTTTTTTCTTTGTTGTGTCCGTGACTAATTGCTATTGGCCTAGCATATGAAGAGAACATTCCAAAATCTCTTATAGATGAGTAATGTTTTTAGCTGGAGTCCCATCCCACTCAGTTGCACTGGTCCAAGCATTTACCTCCTTTTCACCTCTGTGATCTTGGAATCACATCTTCTCTTCACTTCCTCAAAGCTGATTTTTTTTCATTTGGTGTTTGTAAATAGTTTAAAAACAGTTGTCTTTTCTCTCGTGCCTTCTTCAGACTCACTTTTTTTGAGGGGGATTATCTTTGTAGATTTAGATTGCTCTGTTACCACCACCATTTTACGGCCCCTCAATTCTTTCCAAAAGTATATAACTTGTAGAGACACTATATCTTTCTCAGATGGACAATGGAAGTGCTTTTTCTGCATTTGCTTCCCAAGACAGGAAAAACAGGGTGGTGAAATGACCAACACACCTTTTGGGAAAGGCAATATTTTGCTTTACTTTCACTTTTTAAAAGCTGATGTTCCTTGACACTTGGAGATGATTTAGATCTTCAGACAGTTTTATAAATATTCCATCAAAATAGTTTCAGTATCAAAATTAGTGGCCCCTTCTCCCATGGCTTCCAGTTTCACGGCTCCGTACCAAAAAGTTACAGAACCACGATAAATATTATCCCCTTGGTTTCAACCAGAATAAAATAAATCTAAAGAAATACTGTATCTTCATCTCATCTATCAGACCCAAAAAAGAAACAGAAAAGAAAAGAAGGATGTTCGTGTTCTTCCTTCTGCTGGTCTCTTAACAGACCAGTAGGTTTCTGAAGACTCAAATACTAAATCTGCTAAGATACCAGAACTGCAAACATGGTCATATATGGTACAGGAGATGCCCTCCAGACTCTGCCACAGTTTCTGCATCTCATCCTTCCTTCAAGTCTTATTCTAGAGAGGTTGACAGTTCTCCAAAGCAAATAGCTTTCTTTTCTAAAGGAGAAATTTTGGAGAAGTCTTCAGGGCCAGTGGTGTTGCATTGCCAAAAAAATTCCATATAAACTTGACATTGAACTATTCCTATTGAAACCATATTATTATTGATCCTGTTCTTGCTCCAGGGGTCATTCTCTGACTTTTACATATCCCCTTCACAGTATATATAGTGACTATGACTATCCTTCCAGGTTCATTGCATTTCAGAAATAGTTGTAGGTTTTTGTCATAGCCATGAGACCAAATATCTCTCTACTAGTCTGCCTCTGAATACCATAGGGGACATGAATTCAATGATATTTGGTATCACTTTTTGACTATGAAGACTGGAACTTCTATTACTCAAGATGCTCAAAACCTTATCCACCACTGCCTTCTCAAACCACCTGATCTTTAGGATCCCATGTCATTGTTCTTGGAAGGAGTTCAACCACATCTGGTTCCAGTGGCTCAAGCAACTGCATCTGTACAATCAGTACCAAGCTGTTTGGTTTTCAAAGAGATACATGCTGTGTCCAAAGCAATCAGCATCTTCTCTCAGCTGCTGCCGTGTTTCCCCAAAAATAAGACAGGGTCTTATAATAATTTTTGCTCCAAAAACGCATTAGGGCTTATTTTCAGGGGATGTTTTCTTTTCCATGTACAACCATCTACATTTATTCAAATACAGTCATGTCTTCTTCTGGTTGCTGCACAGTGGTGGAGGGTGAACTTTCACTTAACTAGGGCTTATTTTGGGGGTAGGGCTTATATAACAAGCATCCTGAAAAATCATACTAGGGCTTATTTTCAGGTTAGGTCTTATTTTCGGGAAAACAGTATCAGAACCATTATGCATCCTAAGATCCAAAGCTGTGCTTAGTGCACTCTTTCAGCCAATACCTGAGGCAATGACAGTATCAGTATTACAGGCATTTGATACAGCATTACTGTGCATTTGATTGATACTGTTTCTTCCTGTGTAGACATCTGAACTCATGGACATTGTCTCTCTTGCTTCCCTGCCAATAGTATTTTGGAATAATACAGATTGGGTACATCTTCAGACCTAACATTGGCTTCTCCAGATGCCAAGCTAATTGCCAGTATCACCCACTGAATCATATTTATTGGACTGGCTGTTGCTTTAAGTCCAGAAATACATGTGCAAGTGGGAGAGGTCCTGGACTCTGTTTTCCATAGGGTTCAAATCCACATAGCTGTAGCGATCACAATATTGATGTTACTGTATCTTCTTCATATAATTCACCAATCATAGCAAAAATCTTCTTCAGTTTCTTCTGCTTTGAAAATAGTAGGGTGGTGGTTTTTTTGGTTGGGTTGGGTTTTTTTGTTTTGTTTTTTTGTTTTTTGAGAAATCCCTACCACCTCAGCAATTCTGAATGTACCTCAAGGGAAACCAAAAACGGAGATTACTCTGAAGTCTAATGGACAGAGAGGCCTGTAAGCCGGATTCTGTGGGCTACCACATCTATTCTTCATTGGCAATGGCATTAAGAATGTCAACTCTTGTATGGGAGCATATCAGCAGTATTTATGGAAGAAAACATCTACTTTTTTGAACACAAGCAAACATCACTGAACATTTATGCAAAAGCCCATAGACATTCACAATAGTATGTCACTTGTTGGATTGTGACTCCAGGTACCTGGCTGCTTCTGGTGCTCTATGGCCTCATGCATGGCTTGATCATCTGGTCTGGCTCCTGATGTACATTTTACCATTGAAAATTTACCCTTTAATGAACTAGATTTATTCAGCAATAAAATATTATAAGCTTCACCATGAAAAGCTAAGAATACGAGCAAGAAAACTGGGTATCAGAATCCATCAATTATCGTAGTTTCACCAGTGTAATAGACTGTCTTCATAGCAGCAACAAAAAGCAAGATTACCCTCCTGCAAAACATCACAACAATCTTCACAACTGACTTCATGCAGGTTGTACCTCTAAAATAGACATAAAGACACAAATTCTAGACAACATGTTCTGTCATACTGCACCACTGACTATCATCTGTTTGTTCCCAGTACTCATTCCACCATATATTTCAGGGCAGACTGAGCCACTGTTAATCATCAGTGGCAAAGTATTACAACAGACCATTGGGTTCTTTCCATGATAAACAATAGATGTACCACAGAGTTTGGTTTATTACCACTTTGGGATCTGTACAGAGTATCCCAGAGTAATACTGTGTCAGCTGACTAGAAACCAATTTGAATCTGTAGCCACAACTGCCCTTCATCCCTTTTCAATCAAGGTAGCTTTCCTAGTCATGGCGTCTTCAACAGGGACATTGAACCGTGTCCCTGCATGTTAAACCTGGTTTTTGACAAGACAAAATAATTTTTCCCCAAAACTTGTGTCTTTCATTCCGTGTTTCACAAAACTTGTCTTTTCCTACCTTCTGTCAAAGCCCGCCTTCACAGTTGGAACATTTTCTATATTCTCTGGAAGTCTACATTGTGTTGACCTTTTGTATCTCCAGAACAGCAGTTTTTGGAAAGCTTTAGAATAATTTAATAAATCATTAATCTGTTATGAATGATAAAACAACATCTACTCTCTCACCTTAAAGCCTCTCTAAATGGTGAGTATCATATTGACTTTTCAGCTAACAGATCACTCCTTCCCTAAGTCCCCTAAGGGACACTCTACAAGGGTAATATCTACATTCAGAGCTTCCCTGAGAGGCACCCTGATACATGAAATTTATAGTTAGTTTTTCTATAACTTTGATGCACCATCCACACAGGTGAGCTTTCTAGTCTCTTGTAGGTGTGAATTACAGAGATCGTAAAGGACAAAAACAGATTGCTTACCTGTAACAGTTGCTCTTAGAGTGGTTATCCTTGAATTCACACAAACCACCTCTTCCCGTCTTTAGGACACCCCATTGTTCACACATTTTTTGTTCTAAGTGACAGACTGGGAAATGGTGTGGAAAGGAGGAGAATGCCTGGACATGTACAGTTAAGTGTGAGGTTCCCAACCAAAATACTCAGCCATAGCAGATTCCAGAACATTCAGCACACCCGCAATTGTGGGTTGTCAGATGACTACTCAAAAAATAATTATAAGTAAGCAACCTGTTTTTATTCAAGATTCAGTTCTCTGTTGATAAATCCATGGCACTGAATTTCATTACTTACCATAGATTTTAATCTTCAGACAGTTTAAAAGTTGATTATATTCAGATTCTTCTTGAGCTTTTCGTCATTTTGCGTAATTCCACTGTTCAGCTTCTTAAATATCCAAATATTTCTCATGCATCTCTTATTTCTGTTCCTTTGCTTTATATACTAATTGGTTAATCCACATGGTACAGCAAAAGGCAAATCCTGGTTCAGGGTTCTACAGTGGTTTTCTAGAACCAAAAATGTTTTACTGCCTCTCACAGGCTATGGTTGCAGGATTTCAGGATAGCTTGGAACTTGTCTAAGGATTTAATGTAAGGGTGAGCAAAGTGCAGC